AACATTCATGTAAAATAAATGATTTATCCTCTTAAGACCCGAGAAAATATTTTTTTTGGAAAAAAATTTTTTTTTTTCATGTCTTTACATTGTTTAGAGCATAAAAAAAAATAATAATAATAATAATAATTAAAAAATGATATTTCGTTCATAAGTTATGCTATGTCCTCGGTAGAGGACATCGGGACTCAATAAAAAAAATAAATAAAAAAAAAGACATGAACATGCATAGGCAAAAACAATAGATATTTTAAATCACCAATACATTTTTAGTTTTCAGGATTTTTTTTTTTTTTTTACCAAACTTTGTATAAAGATGATTCTCAACTATGTTATAACAGAATGATTTGATACAACATTTTTCTTTCTGCAAAATGTGTGTAAAATGGCCATAAATGGGTTTTCTCATTATATACAATGTATCTATAAACTAAATCTAATTTGCATATTAATGTGTTACAACTGTGGCATGTATAGTCTCAGAGAAATACACCAAAATATAATGCCCTCATAAGAGGTCACAGGGTCTCAGGAGGTTAAGGATTGTTGGGCTCCAAACAAAATTGGACCACAGTGACTCCCATTATATTTTTTGTCTGTGCACCTTACACTCACCTGTTGTTCCCAGGCGACGGAATCTTTGATTTCTGCTTTTTTCTCTTATCTGTATCTCCTTTACTGTAGAATGGAAGCACCGAGGCATAACCGTGCTCGGCCTCTGAAAATGTATAGTACATAACATGAGTGCTCAATAGCGCAGCCTACTTCCTCTCATGTACGATCCTTTAAACAGACTAAAAATGAGTTATTTTGTACATCTACAGAAACATCGGACATTTGACTGGTGCCTGGTTATAAATCTAAAAACAAAGTCAAATAATAAGGTTCTACCATGAGATACAGGGAAATATTTGCTATATGTCAGCAGCGGCTCATCAAATCAGCTGTATGCGAGACCGCTTTCTGGTTTTGGCGCCATCGAACGATATGGCAATTTTGAAATCAATGCTCTGCACTGTAACTATGTATCCAGTGATGTACGCGACGTCTTTGTTGAGCCGCTTTAACTGTCGCAGAATAACGGCCAGCGCTGTTACATTTTCAAATCTATGACGTTTTCGCGCCTTTGTGTACAATACAGAACTGAAATGTAGGTCAGCGAGCCAAACACGATCATATCAACAATAAAAACGATGTTTGGCACTCTACAAACACACAAACAACGCTCTGCAAACAGGAAAACACACCCAGTGCCCACATGAAAACATAATGACTGCAAACATTAATGAATGTGTACAAAATCCACACAAACAGCAGACTGTGCGAAACGGCTTCGGTTTCAATGCAAACAATGTGAAAGAAATAGCGCGTCTAATACCTCTTTCCCTTCGCTCCAAATACTCAGCTGCCTGCAGAAGCACTTGAATGTTGCATGTGTTTACCTCCATTTCTGACAAACAATGTTATTTTGAAAGCGCCAAGAGCGACAATGATCTATTGAAGTGTAGAGGAGACTTCGGCTATATCCAGCTCGCCGCGTCAGACGCGTCAGACGCGCCACGCCACGCCCTCCTCCACGCTCACGCGACCGCTCCCTTCAGCAGACACAAAAACAACTCAGATTATACTACCTATTGACGGGAGCTTAAATTAAAGACGAGGACAATTTACAGTATTTGAGTTGCAAATATTATTTTATCCAAGCCCGTAAAGTGAATTCAAATTATTGAATTTGGACAAAATGTGTATGGGATAAATTTTCCTCAAAAGTATTGCAGTCACGGATAAAATAAAAAATGATAAGCGTGAAACCAAAATTTAAAAACGCAAGTAAAAATATTTTTTGCACAAAATGTAAAAATGAAAGCAAAGTTTTCAGAATAGGAAACAATGGTCACGGATAAAAAAAATGATAAGCGTAAATCAAAAAATGTAATTACGCATTAAAAAATAAAAATAAGCATGAATCAAAACTTTAAACAGATTTAAAATCATATTGAACAAAACTGAAATGTTAATGCAAAATTAACCGACTTACACACAAAATCATGTTTTATTTAGTAATATTTCTCTATTTTTTTTTTTTTGTGCTGTCACACATTTTCTGCTCATATTTTTATATTTGTTGTATGCTTATGCTGTTTTTCACTTCGCTCTTCTTTCCACGTTCTGCGCTTCTTCTTCCAAATGTTGCGGTTAGAGTTTAATGTAAATCAGAGCGTCATCATTGGTCCACTAGTTCTAGATTGACAGCTCCTCTAACCAATCAGTCGAAGAGAGGAGTTGACGTCACTCCAATGCGCCTCATTGGCTGCCGATGCTCACTGCTCAGTGTTCACTTGTACAGGTGAGAATGGAGAACCATCAGCTATGTGTCTGTGTGTCACTGCTATGCGCCTACCTGGCGAGCCATTACCATTAAATTGGTAAGTTTATTATGAATGAATGTAATGTTTTTTCATTGACTAGGCTAAATTTGACTACTGATTAATGAAAACGATACTGTTACAGAGGCCAGGTGGATTTGATATACACAATGATTTATTTGCATACTTATTGTGGTACATATATAATTGTAGTTTTGATATAGTTTTGTTTTAGTTTTGAGAGACTCGTCAGAGACTACATCTGCTCATTGCTGCCTGCCTCACTGGATCCGCTACAATTTGCATATCGTAGCAACCGTTCTACAGACGATGCTATTGCTTTCACCCTACACACTGCTCTCTCCCACCTGGAAAATAAGAACACCTATGTGAGAATGCTGTTTGTGGACTACAGCTCAGCATTTAACACCATAGTGCCTGCCACACTCGTTGAGAAGCTCCAGAATCTGGGACTAAACAGATCTCTGTGCAGCTGGATCCTCTGTGGTGATGTGACAATAAAAGTGACTTTGACTTTGACTTTAATTGCATTACACTATCATATTAATGTTTTAAATATATAAAGTTTGAAGATAGCGGCAATATGAAAGTAAAACAGCCAGTAGGTGGCGGCAAGTTACTAACTTGAGTGAGTGAGTCATTAAATCATTAGGCTTGTTTGAGATGCGCCTCGCCTCGCCTGAAATGAAGGCGAGAGCAGGCGGCTGCAGTGAGGGCAGGAGTGAAATAAGCGCAGGCAAGACGGACAGTTCTGCCATCTGGAAGTGGAGCAGATACCAACGAGATCAAAGGCGGATATCGCGCTATTCACACTTACATGCTGTGTTGCTAATAAACATGATATAATTTCAGTTCTGTTGCTTTTATATGAAAATAAATATGATGAACAAGACACTCAAAGTGCTTGCTATTTAATTCCATACGAAAGGTGTATTTATCATCCATTTTTACTTTAATACAAACATGTATTTTTGATTTTTATAGAAATATGACAACAATCACATTATCTCACACAGAGATCGCACCGTCATAGTGCTTGGGAACATTCATGCATAATTTAAATACATAATCATATGAAATCAGATAAAAATGAAATATTTTAGAAGAGAACCGCAGCATCACAGGTGTCTGAACCAATGAGCATTAAGCTGTGTCGTCAGTCATTCATTTCCCATCATGCTTTTGGTCAGCGCAGTCGGTGGAGAGCAACTGCACAATCCGACACAGCCGCCACGCCCTCGCGAGAGTTTTTTTGCACATGTCAGCATGACATCAGAGCAAGTCGGAGGTAAGTCGGACACTTTTCTAACCGGCATGCATCTCGCAGTGATCACCGGTGATCGATTCTGCGCAGAATTTGCTCATCTCAAACAAGCCCAATCATTCAAGCGGCTGATTCACTGACGATTCGTTCAAATCGAAACCAATTCATTCAGTAGGAAAGGCTGCTGTGTGTTGCTGTAGAGGACACTGTTCTGCTGTGGCTTTGTTTGGACTCTTCGTAGAAATTGAGCAAAATTAGAAAATAGTTACATTATTATGTTTAAGACTCACTCAAAATGTACTTCTTATATTGATTTTATACTACAGTTCAATAAACATTTGCAATGGTGCTGATATTCGGGAAAACAGCACTCTTCCTCGTGTGAAATTGCTTAACTCTGTCATTTTATAATCTCAGAGTAACACAAAATGTGATAAATCTTACAAAACCAACAACCTTATCAATGACATACTGTACATAAAAGACAAAGCTGCAAATCTGTTTAAAAAAACAATACATGACAAAAAAATAAGATACAGACAATTAACAATTATGAGCAATATACAGTGAACTAAACAATTTTGACTGGCATATATTACTCTTACTCATATTATCCTCTCCTAAAAGTAATAAACATGACAAGACTTATCAATTAGGCATAGGCGAGCCAGGCACATATAACTTTTTATTTTTTTTAAATGCGTTATTAAATTTTTAATTTACGCTTATTATTTTTCGGTCCGTGACCATTGTTCGCTATTCATTTTTAAATTTTGTGCAATATATTTTTACTTGCGTTTTTTAACTTTGCTTTCATGCTTATTATTTTTTTTTTTTTTATATACATGACTGCAATGCTTTTGGCAGAAAATGTATCCCATAATATATGGGCTTTTATTTTGTTGACACTTCTTGATTCTCATGAACATTACAAAAAAGGCATAAAACGTACATAACTATAAACATATTTGAAACAATTGTATTTTAATAAGTATAACAATTTATTGAACACAGATATAATTTTTTTTTAATTCATAGTGGAATTAAAATGAATTATTCTGATGTGATATGTCTAATGGTCGACAACTTTACTAAACAGATATACTGCACTTATTTCTTCAATTGTTAAAATACAGATTCATTAACATATTTAAAATAATAGAACAATTGACAAATAATAATAAACCCACCATGATAATAACATGATATTATTATCACGTGCACTTGAGCTTAAAGGTGCAGATGCAAACAGACGAAGTGAATACAAAATATTGAATATGACAAGTGAGATGATCCAAGACAAAAACTGAAGGGCTTTAATTTCGTGACACTTTTAATGATGCATTACAAAAACAGGTAACATATTCACGTCTCTCATGACTTATAGTTCAAAATACACGGTTATATCAATACTAAAATAATGTAATTAAAAGTATGCAAATTAAAAACATGTAAAAGCAAAACATTAAGCAAAAGCAGGTAGAATGTATAAAAGGTATATTTCGCTTTCCTTAATAACTAAATACAAAATGGACAATACCAATAGTAAAATATTTACTTTACTTACTTTACTTTTACTTTTAGTCATTTAGCAGACGCTTTTATCCAAAGCGACTTACAAATAAGAAAAAGTAATTAAAACTAAAAGCTAAAACTCTATAAATACTATATATACACATTTAAGAAAATAAAATAAATTAAATAAAAATGACAAATGCATACAACAACATTTCAAAACTAAACATTTAAATGAAAAAACAAACAAACAAAAAAACAATATCTGAATTAACATACTAATAAAACATATAATATTAATATTAACACTGAATACATCTTACGCGAAAGAGTGTAGAACTTTCATTTTAGAACCCATTTCTGCACCGGAAGTTCCAGTGTGACGTCAGTTTGTTGTGTGCACCAGCTGGTCATCAGCCAGAGCCGACAGAAAACACTACTCACGCGCACACAAACATTACCCTTCTGCAGGGTCTCGAACAAGATGTCGGGTTTGTAGTATTTGGAGGAAAACGTGACGGGGCAGTGGATGTATTTGAATGAAGAGAGCGGCTCGTTCGGTCTCGGCACTGAGGGACGAAACACTGGCCTGCTGAAGGTCTCTTATCTGAAGCTGTTGTTTTGACGCTCTGCCTTCACATAATTATATAATACGATGGAAACGATTCTTGCCTGCTTAGGAAGTAGTTTCGCTGGAGACGTGTAAAAAACGCCAGTGCCTCATAACACTGTACTTTCAATGCAAATCAGCTAGATCACAAGGAAAAGTCTTCCGTCTGCGAGAAAATGTGGTGGAAACTCTTCTTTTTGCTCCTGTATTTTTCCATGTTATTCATCCTGGCTCGTTTTTTTGAAGCCATCGTCTGGTATGAGACGGGAATGTTCGCCACCCAGCTGGTGGATCCGGTGACATTGAGCTTCAAGAAACTCAAAACCATTCTGGAGTGTCGTGGATT